TGTAAGTCAACTATTTATACTGTTAATAATGTATTGTTCAGATGTTAGAGCATATGTTAATAACAAAGTTGTGTCTTTTACGTGATATATAACTTGAAATTATGTGATATAAGTATGTGCCATTCCTATTGTATTCTTATATTTTTACCAAGCTTTATTTCAGTTATTTACCAAAGAATAATGTTTTGTTTCCTTTTCATTCAATTAAAGTATCTAGTCTTTAGTTATTGATCTTTTATAAAGTGCCTTAATTAACTCTTAAAATAGTATAAGGAATAAGAAGTCATTTGTTTGTTTAATGTTTACATGCATGCTAGTCTTGAAGTATTTTTTTTTATAATTATCTACGGATTTGTTCTTAATATTTGTATCTCATATTGTATTACTATTATTTGATATTTGTATGGTTCATTTACTTTATTTGTGTACAACTTTATATTTCCAAAATTGTGAAGATTTATTTTCTTACAGCTTTTCACCACGCTCACGCTTGTCAACTAGCAAGTTGGATACACTGTTCATGTCTACCAGCTTGTGAACATGACAATAAAGGTTTAACTGACTGCTAGTGTTTTACTTGAGGCAGTACAGTGAAAAGAGTAGCTACCCCATCTTCCAAGCCTATAGTGAAAAGAGTGGCCTGCCATCTTCTAAGCTTAGAGTGAGAAGAGTTGCCAGTATTCTTCTAAGCCTTGAGTGAAAATAGTGAGACATCTAGCAAGCTAAGTGAAAAGAGTCAGCCTTCTGTTGAGTGAAGAGTTATACAACTATCAACAAAGGAAAGTCTCTCTCAGCATCTTGCCGGATAACTTCAGGGGAATCGTTCAGCATGTGGACTACAAGCAACGCAGACGTTCACACTAAAATGGAAGCGGAGCAGTGTCAAGCAGTATGTGGAAGATCAAACAAGGTACCAGAATTTGATCTCAACCCTTCTTTTGAACAAGCTATGCCTGTCAAACCTCTTCGTAGTCAGCCCAGTGATGCCAAGGCTAATCCTGTGAGTAACAGTTGTGGAGAATTGTCGCGTTTCCTTTTGAAGAAGGAACTTTCCCTGGCACGTTTCACTCCATTTGATGATCGTCCTGAGTCTTATGTACCTTGGAAAACTCCTTTTCAGCAGACCATTTAAGATCTGCATGTTACCATATTTTCCGATTTTCAAAAATTCGTAAAAAAAAAGTAAGAAAAATTTTTAAAATCCACTACTATGTTGCCTGCGCATTCTCACAAGGTTTCTAAAGATATATCCAAAATTTTAATCGGATGAAAACTCTGGGGCAAGGAAATGTTCGTAGCTCGAGAAAAAGAAAAATCGAAAAACAAAAATAAAAGTTGGATATTTGAACTTCATTTTTTATATTTTTTCATTTATGGATCTTTACCATTTTACTACTGTAGAAACTGCTATTATTTCTCTTTCAAACGCACTTTGTTAGGTAGAGATATGATTATTAGTCTCCGAGTTATAGAAACAAACAAATGACTCCCGTGAAAAGGGGGAAATCCAGACCTAAGAATATGCCCGTTATATAAAATCGGTTGTTTTGTGTTTTATACCTCTTTTATTGCTGTTTTCTTGTGTATATATTCGTTTACATGAGTATACACATGTAAATTATTGTAAAGGTACATGGTCGTGCACGTGTATATGCGAATATGCACATACTTATTAGATCCATAATTATTTACTTCATTTATGTATTTTCTCTTTACTCCAGTCTACTCTTCTTCCCCATCGCCTAACCACGTGATTCCGCCTCGAAACAAGCGATAAACGTTTAGTCACCAGCGGAGTACTTGTTATGGAGGGACAATGAATTGTTTAGTGTTCGTTACAAATAACCGTTTAGAAAACGTTGATAGATCAAAAATATTTTGAAATACAAATCTCTTATATCAAATCTCTTATATTCGTTTATCGTGGATGTTTCTTGTGATGTACTAATAGGTATCAGATATTTATAGGCCGATTTTACGAGTTTACACAAATAAATTATATCATACTCTTTCTTTAGTTATTTTTTTTCTCGTAAATGGTTTTATAATGACATAATGATGTTTAATCGATTAATTAGTTTCAAATGAAAGCGCATACGTAAAACTATTGCAATCAGAAAAGTCTAAAGCGGCGGCGACGCTTGGAGCTTTGTCGCGCGGGTCCCTGCGAGATGGCCTTGAACGCGCACGGGCCTCCAGTCCGTGGGAATATCTATTCGTTGCGAGTTTATTTTTGGAGATTCAGACTTGTAACTGCTCATGTTTATCACCGAACCCTAAACATACTTTTATGATGAATTTGTCGACATCGAATCATATCTACTATATTTTATGGAAAAGAAATTTGAAAAGTCGCATAATGATTTTTTTATTTTTCTTCGTCTTTCATATCATAAATCTCTCACTTTGGTATAAAACTGTTATAATAAGACTTTTATCTTCCTGTGGTCCATTTCAATAGGTAATGTCAAAATACAATGCATCAGATTAGCTCCTGTGAAGGGAGAGTGCGGAAGGGTGAAAATCGCCGACACAGCGGCACTGGGACTTCGGGTTCTGGCCTCGCGCGCTGCCCAAATTTTTCGCCGCGGAAGTTCATATTCACGTGGGTAATTCTACTCTCATTTACGAATATGAAACTAACCATAACTCATTTTCGACCACTCCGACTCGCCCCCCCCCCCCACCGCCAGGGACGGTCCCCTTAAGTCAAAGTCTTTAGAACGCAAGAAACTTCTGAAAGAAAATAGAATATGTGTTAAGTGTTGCATCTCAAAGAACCACTTAAGTCGAGATTGTCCAGAGGACATAACCTGTAAAGACTGAAAGTAAATATTGCACTGCTATGCATTTGAAGAAATTTCAGTCTTCCTGAAACAAGTAATAAGGCTCATGGCAGGGAGAAGCTCGACCAAAGTGTTGATAAAGAGTCAGTACGTGAACAAGCATTAGATGTGACCAACAAGAGTACTGGTGTATGTGAGGAATTTCCTGGAAAGTCGTGTGCTAAAATTTTGCCAGTTTACGTTTTTCATGAGAGTAAACCGAGGAAGCGTACGAAGTCATATGTTATGTTAGATGATCAGAGTAACAAATCTTTAGCTAAAGGAGAGCTTTTAGATTTCTTTGATGTTCGCTCTGTGACAGAGAAATACATCATAACTAGTTGCTCTGGCCGTTCAGTTATGACAGGAAGGAAAGCTGGTGGACTGTGCATACAGGCTGTTGATGGTAGTCTACAGATGAGCCTTCCTACAGTCATCGAATGTGATGAACTTCCTAATTATAGGTTTGAGATTCCAACTTCCAACATTGCTCGACTTCATCCACACCTCAAAGACATTGGTTCAGAAATTTCATCTCTTGATGATCAGGCTCAGATTCAGTTATTGATTGGTAGAGATCTTCCTGAAGCTCACCATGTATTAGATCAAGTAACAGGTCCACCAGGTACACCCTTTGCCCAAAAGATGAAGTTAGGCTGGATAATTATAGGTGAAGTCTGCCTGGGGAAGCATCACACAACAAGGAATGGAATGTTTGGAAAGACCGTATTAAGACCTTACAAAGTCTGAAAATACCAAGAATGTATGTTCCAGCATCTTTGTCAACAGAAGTTAAAAAAGAATTACATGTCTTTACGGATGCTTCCAAAGAGTCAATTGCTGCTGTCTCATATTTGAAAACTACATGAAAGTGGCAGTTCAGAAATTGGATTTGTGATAGGGAAAGCTAAAGTTGCACCCTTGCATGGACATACTATACCTCGTCTAGAAGTGTGTGCTGCAGTACTTGCAGTAAAACTTAGTGGTACTGGAGAACCTTGATGAAGAAATTGATATAGTGAAATTTTACACTGACAGTAAAGTAGTTCTTGGCTACATCCACAACCAAACAAGACGATTTTATGTGTATGTTGAGAATAGAGTGAACCGTATTCACAGGTCAACTAAGCCAGAGCAATGGAATTATGTTCCTACATGTGTGAATCCAGCTGATTGAGCAACTCGCTCTATGGTGAATGATTTCTCGTGTGATGACATATGGCTGAAAGAACCTGAAACATTCTTAAATAAGCATCATGATCTTGCTCAAGAAACTCCACAGCTAGTTCAACCAGAAGATGATAAAAAAGCAAGGCCAGATGCTCTGGTAAAGGCAGCTAAAACCAGTGTGATAGACAATTTATCAATTGGGTGTCACAGATTTGAAAGGTTCTCTGAGTGGTATCGCCTTACAAATTCTGTTGCTTTATTGCAGAGATGTGCATGTGCCAAATCAAAAGTGAGCTAGAAGTGTCTTTCAGAAAAGCTGAAATATTTGTGATCAAAGCAATTTAAAAGGAAACTTACAAAGAAGAAATTAGACTCGAAGCAAAAATGCATCTTCCAAAATCTAGCTCGATTATGGCTCTCAACCCGTACTTAGATGAAGATGGTGTGTTAAGGGTTGGCGGAAGATTGCAACAATCAAGTCTTGGAAGTTACCAGAAACATCCAATCATTTTACCTGGTAAAAGTCATATTTCTACACTTATAGTACGTCACTATCACCAAAGTGTTCGACACCAAGGACGTCATCTTCCAGAAGGAGTTGTTAGATCTGGTGGATATTGGATTACAGGTGTGAAACGGTTGATCTCATCACCACCCTTTACCAATGTAGGAGTTGATGCCTTTGGACCTTGGACTATAATGACACGCAGAACTCGTGGTGGATCAGCAAATTCTAAACGGTGGGCTATTTTGTTCACTTGTCTTACAAGAGCAATACATATCAAGTTGGTAGAAGAAATGTCCTCTTCAGCTTTTATTAATGCACTTAAAGATCTGAAGCTCTCAGAGGTAAAGTTAAACTGTATAGATCTGACCGAGGAACCAACTTTGTTGGTGCAACTGATAGCCTCGAGATAGATGCAGAAAATGTGGAGAAAAAAAATAAGGGAGAGGAGGAGGGGAGGAGAGGGAGCAGGGTAAGGAGGAAAAGGAGAAAAGGGAGGAAGGAAAGCAGGAAGACGCAGAGGGAGAAGAGGACAGTCTCATCACACTACATTGTAGAACTGCAGCACCCGATTCTGTCCGGCGGTCTGCTCGCGGCGACCCGGCTGCGTTACGCCCTTATTCCTCGCCCTCCAGTTCCACAGCCCCTGCTTCACCTCAGGGACCTTCTTCGGCCTCGCCCCTGACGTCACTTTATTTTCTTTATCTCCTGCTGTCTCTGTGGGTTTTCTGCTGAGGTTTTCGGTACTTCGCGGACGCTCTCGCAGCCCATACGGACCTTTGTTTAGCAAGGAAAATGCACCTACACCTCTCGCAATTGGCTGCGCTGCGGGCTGGGAAGTCTGCGTTTGTCTCTCGTGTTCAGGAGTTATCATGTGGTTTTCCTGCTGAGACTCTGCGTTCTTTTCCGTAGCGCCCACGGTCTTCAACGGCTGACGAAAAGCAGCCATCCCTTCGCACGCCTTGTCGGACGAGCCAGCCCGATCGGCCAGGCTGAATATGTTTCCCCTCTTGCGTCGACTCCTGGGGTTGTCCAGCGTGTTGCTCTTGACCCTGGGAGACTTCTTAAAGGTGACGCGCTTCTCCGGGTGTGGCTGCACCCCGCGCATCTTGAGGAAGGGGTTCTCGCTGCGCTGGGGATCGAGCTTGGTGGTGGTGCCGTTGGGGATCTCCCCCTGGTCGTGTCCAGGTCGGACGGCGGCCGATGGGCGAGGGTGGCGGGCGTTCTGGCGGCCTCGACTGCCGGAGGTAGATCTGGGCGCGAACCAGGTGCTGGCGAGCCTCCCTCTCCATGGCAGCGACGCGGTGCTCGCGGTGGCTCACTTCACGTTCCCGCTCCTTGACCGAAACCTCGCGTTCCCGTACAGACGCCTCCGACTCCCGCAGCGCCTGAACCCGTTCTCGCCACGTCTTCGGCGACATGCCTCCGCAAGCACACTCCAGCTTCTCCATGTTGAAATTGTAAGTACTGTCATCCCCCTGGAGAGGTCTGCTGACAGCTTCTTTTGCTGCTTGACATATCCTCTCAAGACTGTCACAAAGACCTTGATCCCTGTGTTAGCTTCCCTGGTAACTATTCTTGACTTGATGCATTTGCGAGCTGCTTGACGTGCTCGCCTGGCTTTCATTAACATTACTGACTAACTGTTTCTCCTGAGAGGCCCGAACGCCCGTGTTAATTCTACTATCACAGTCGCCGTCAGCGTCTGCTCTCGCTACGTTAAAAGTTTCCGCTATGGGTGAGACGCCTTGGCCACTCCTCTCCCTCGTTCTGTCTCGAGCCCTCACACTACTCAGGCTGCCGCCATCTTTGGAGACGCTGGCTCCGTCGGCGCTCTTTCCCCTTTCCTCGTTCCTCCCCTCGCACGACTCTGCTACATTCTTCCTCACGTCGGTATTCCCATCCCTGATGGTGGTGTTCTCGTCTGCCTTCGTTTGGTTTTCTGCCCCAGGAGGACGGAGGGCCGCAGGGAATGGCAAAGGGAGTCGTCCTCAAATTTGTTGGGGTTCTTCGACGTATGGTTGATGAGGGACGAGTGGCGGAGGACGAGAGCAGAGGGGCGCAGGAAGTCCTCGTAGGTTAAGAGGAGCCCAATCATTTCGTGTAAATCATTACTGTACTGAATTGGAATCCGTTCATATCTGAAAGATGAAACGTAATAGGCAATAGATAGCCAGAAACATAATAAATTTACGAACGTTTACGCAATAAAAGAATCGACAACATAAAGATGTGTTCTTCACAGATATATAAAAACATGAGAACAAACCTTCCATTTCTGATTTTAGCAGCAAGTTGCTTGTGCGTCGTTGCTTGGAAAGGAGGATGCAGGCACATAGTTCGTAGATCAGACAGCCTAATGACCACATGTCAGCCATCTCATTGTATTCTAAACCATCTATACCAAACAGGCACTAAATGGATCTCCAACGGTCCCCATTCATCACATATGGGAGGTGTATGGGAACGCCTCATTCGAATCTGCCGGAAGATCTTAGAGTCAATGCTAGCTGAAACTCCTTATAAAACTTTGACGCTTGAAGTGTTATAAACCTTCATGGCAAAAGTATGTGCCATAGTGAATAATCTACCAATAGTGAACGTATCAACTGATCCAGAAAACCCTTTCATCTTGTCACCTGCCACTATTCTTACCCAGAAAGTTGGAGTAGACCATGTAGAAGATTCAGTGGGAAAAATTGATACAAAAGACCTTTTGAAAACAGAATGGAAACGTGTTTCTGCCCTCTCAGAAATATTTTGGAATCGTTGGAGGAAAGAATATCTGCACACACTCCAAGAACGCAGAAAATGGTGTTGTGCAAAACCTAGTCTTACTGAAGGTGATGTTGTGTTATTAAAAGACAAAAGTGTTTGCCGTACACAGTGGCCATATGGAATTGTTGTAAGAGCTATCCAAAGTGAAGGCAAAGTAAGGAAAGTGGAATTAAAGGTTATGAGAGATGGAAAGCCAGTTGTGTATACAGGACCAATTTCAGAATTAATTCTTTTGGTTTCTGTTGCTAAGTAGCCATTTTTATTTGAACAAGTCTCATTTCAATTCCTAGTTGTCATTTAATCAGTATTATAGTAGTGATATCAATTTGTTGATATCAGGCAGGGAGTGTAAAGGAATGAAGGATTCCTTGTCTGATATTATATGTATAGAATTAACATCATCAAGAATTTATTTGATTTAATTTATCAACAAAAGAATAATTATTTAATTTCATTTAGTTTGTAACGTTGGCTACAGTGACGCTAGAGTTCTACGAACGCCCTACAAAAACGCATTGTTGTGAATCCGCGGAGCGTCGCTAGAGAGCCATGTGAGACGCCTTGTGCTGCGTAATTTTAAATTATTCTTGTTTTGTGAAGATTTGGGCTAGCCACACTGTAAGTCAACTATTTATACTGTTAATAATGTACTGTTCAGATGTTTGAGCATATGTTAATAACAAAGGTGTGTCTTTTACGTGATATATAACTTTGAAATTATGTGATATAAATATGTGCCATTCCTATTGTATTCTTATATTTTTACCAAGCTTTATTTCAGTTATTTACCAAAGAATAATGTTTTGTTTCCTTTTCATTTAATGAAAGTATCTAGTCTTTAGCTACTGATCTTTTGAAAAGTGCCTTAATTAACTCAGGAAAATAGTATAAGGAATAAGAACTCATTTGTTTGTTTGTGAAGATTTATATTCTTACAGCTTTTCACCACGCTCACGCGCGCATGCACGCACGTGCATGTTGTCATCTAGCAAGTTTGATACACTGTTCATGCCTAACAGCTTGTGAACATGACAATAAAGGTTTAACTGACTGCTAGTGTTTTACTTGAGGCAGTATAGCTTACTATAATAATAATAATAATAATAATAATGAATTAACAAGATCCTTACCATTAGAAGTCAAGATTTAAGAGAGTTAACCAACAAAAGTTAATGGACTCACCATAAGAATTGAACATTAAATAGGAGAATTTAACATCCTAGATGTGACCTCGACATCAAGAGAATTAGGAGATATGAACAATAGAATTCAACTTCAGTTAACATCAGCAGAAGGTAATACTACATTTACACCCCCAAAACAAAAACAAACAAACGGAAAAAAACAAGAAAAATTAACTTGAAAATTCAACCTCAGACATTTACCATCGACCGAAACAACAACAACAACAACAACAATTACAGAAATACCCGGACCAGAGCGGGACCAAACGGCACGCAATAAAGCTACTGTTGTATTCAACTAAAGGCCATTTGTACATGCTGTATTATCACTACATCCGACCTTACGGCCTGAGCGCTTGTACAGCCGTGTGCCTAATTGCGCCCGTTGCTTGTACAGCGTTAACACGTGTAGAACAGGCAGGTGCCACAATCCTCATCTGTCAGTTCAATTCATTTTGCGAAAGGGGGAGGAGGGAAGGGATGAGAAGAAAGGGGAGGAGGAAAGAAAGGAAAGGGATGGGAAAAGATGAGGAAGAGAAGGAGGAAGAAAAAGGAAGAGAAGGAAGGAAAAGGATGAGAAAGGAAAAGGATGAGAAGAGGAGGAGGAAGGAAAATGATGAGAAAGAAGAGGAGGAGAAATGAAAAGGATGAAGAAGAAAAGGAGGAGAAGGGAAAGGAAGAGATGGGAAAAGATGAGGAGGAAGGGAAAGGAGGGGAAGGAAAGAGATGAAGGAGGAAAAAAGAAATAAATGGAAAGGGAAATTGAGAAGATAAATGGGGAAAATGAAAGAAGGAGAATGATAGGAGGAGAGGGAAAAGGATGAGAAGGAAAAGGGGGGAAGAGAAAGAAGAAGGAACAAAAGGGAAAAAAAGGAGGAGAACGAGGGGGGAAGGATGAGAAGCAAGAGGAGGAAAAAGAGAAAGGAAAGGAGGACAATGAAAGGATAAGGAAAAGGAGGAGGAGAAGGAAAAGATAAGGAAAAGGAGGATAAAGAAATGAAATAGAAGTAAAAGGATGATGATAAGGGAAGGGAAGGGAAGGGAAGGAAGAAGAGAAGGAAAAAGAGGAAAAAGAGGAGATGGGAAAGGAGAAGAAAGAAAAGGAGGAGGAAAAGACAAGGAAAAGGAGGATAAAGAAATGGAAAGGAGAAGGAGGAAAAGGGTAAAAGAAAGGAGTAAAAGTAAAAGGAGAAGGATAAAGAAGAGAAAGATAAGGAGAAAAGGGAAAGGGAAAGGAAGGGAATAAAGACGAGAAGGAAGAGGCGAAGAAGGAAAAGATGCAGAAGGAAAGGAGAAGAAGGAAAAAGAGGGGAAGGGAGAGGAAGAGGAGGGAAAGGAAAGAGGGAGAAGGAAAGAGATTCAATGGGAAAAATGTGTTCCATTCTCGACGCTTCATTCCGTTTTCCTTATCAATTTTGAGAAGGGGAGACCAAAGAAAAAAGAAAATCGCTATACACTGCTTAAAAAACAATAACAACAACAAAGATACGAGAATACGAAGCGCCAATAGACACGGGAAACTCACCCTTAATTCAGAGAGACAGAGAGCCTACCGCGGCATCCACAGCGAAACATGGACACCCTTTCTCGAGGTAAGTACAACCCGGTCAAGTATTTAAGCTGAAATGTGGACTCCTAAACAACAGTCGAGAGAGGAATTGCACGCGTATTGCACAGCTTACAGAGTACAAGAGGAGGGTGTGACATGGGATGAGCTGAGCCTTGCTTTTAAGTGGCTGCACATTCGTCTCGTTGAATCGGGACGTCGTCGTGCTTGTTGAAAGTGAGTGCTATCAAGGGAATGTTTAGTGGATAGATTATCGTATACTGTTTGTATAAGGTAGCTTATATTTTATTGGTGGTATGGGGCTTGTTATATTTTTATATGTGTCTGTATGATCTAGACTGCTGTGTTTAGTACTCATAGTTCTTACTCTATTTATTTATTGAATCGTTTAACTCTAAATAATTTTATGTAAATTTATACAGCGTTCTCTTCTTTCTCTTCTTAAATTTATATTCTTATCTCTCTATCCCTCATATATTCTGTATTTTGTACGAATACTGTCAATCTTCTTCACTCCGCGGTTCTCTCTCTTCTCTCTAGCTTCTTCTCTCCTCTGCTATACTTCCATCTCTCTCTCCGTGCTCTCTTCTACTGCTCATTACTACTAACTACTCTCTCCTCCCATACTACTCTTGTCCTCAACACTCATTATACCTCTCTCTCATTGTATTCTCTCCCTTTCTCTCATCGTTCGTATACTACATAATATAAACCCGCCTCCCGTAGTATCCTCGACCCCTTAGATATTTCCTCTCACGTCCGAATGCACCTTATAACCTATTAAAGAAACAAAAAACAACAGTCCACATCAAAAAACAAACATAAATGATAACAAATACAAACCAGTACAAGAAGAACTGAAAGAAATCACCCTACATGACATCCCGCGGACTCTCTTCCGCCTGACGGCGTTTTCCGCTTCTTATTTCAAATACGCAGACCGGTACCTCCCCTTATATCTCGACGCCGTTCGAGGCATGGGCGAAGGAGCGTGCAGAGTAGAAATAGGTAAGGGGTCGATAGATACGGCGTTAGAGGAGTGGAGCGGTTAAGTAGGGCGTGTGAATGGGGTGGAAAGGTAGAATCATAGGGTGCGGATGTAAGTGAGAGGGTGTAGGGTGGATGTAGGTAAGTGAAGATAAGGGGGTTGAATCAAAGCGGCTAATATATATATACATACATAATATGGAGCAGCGGTGTGTTAGAGTAGTGTGGTTAATGGGAGACTGGAGGAAAAGAGGGTACTGGGAGGGGTGGATGGGAAGGGCGAGGAGGAGAGTTGGGAGGGCATAGACGAGGGGTGTGGCAAGGTGGATTGGATGGTATTACAGGAGTCGCGGATTAAGAGGGGAGACGGTGGTTGAAATAGGGTTGGGTGTGAGGTTAGGGGGTGGGTTTAATATTTCTATAGGCTCGAGTGCTGTATTCACAGTGGGGGGGGCTAGGTGACTACACACATGTTAGCTGTGGAAGATTACATTGGGGAGAGTGGACAGTCGATGGCATTTGGTGTCGACAATTGGGGATCTTGGGGCCGATGACGACAAGCACGCGGAGGGAGAGGGGGGCAACCTCTAAAACGAAGCGTGACCCACCATGGGGTGGGGTGATCCCACATAGGCAAGGTCGACATAAGAAAGTACGACCGAACATGGAGAAAAAAGTAGACGTAGCGAGAGACGGAGGGCGAGAGTAAGAGAGATTGAGCATCGCCCTACACACTTCGCTGACGTATAACAAGCGGGTGGATGGAGTTGCTCACGAGAGAGGACAAGAAGGACAGAGGTACATCGGACTCCTTCACCTGCGTGGAGGAGAACGGAGAGGGAGAACGGGAGACGAGAGAAGAGAGACTGAGAGAG